CCAGATTCATTCCGTAGCTTGCTTCCAGTCATTCAAAGTAGTGGAACAGTCGCAGCACACACTGCAGGCCACATTGACGCAGAGTATAAGGAAGACCATCACATGGTCAAGCAGATATCTTAGCTTGTGCATGATGAGCAAGATTAAAAGTAGCAGAGCAAGGGCTGTTTGTAATCTGAAGGCCTTTGTTTTTCTAAACACTATGAAAACCATGTCAAATCCTGACAATATTCTCTGAAATTTAAAAGAGAAAGGAAACCAGGCATGGTGGCGCACACCTGTAATCCCAGCACTTGGGAGGCTGAGGCAGGAGAATCACTGTGAGTTCAAGACCACAGCGGCTGGGCTACCTCGTGAGTTCCAGGTCAGTCTCAACTACATAGTGAGACCCTGTGTCAAAAAACAAATGAACCAAAAACAAAACAAACAAACAAAAGAGAAAGGACAAGAGAAGTTAACATTTGTTGTGACTTTTTATAAATCGATTAATTACTCTTTTCATTCTTTTTTGATGATTAAGACAATGGCAAATGTATTTTTAAAATTATGATGAAGTTAAGTTACATGGTTTGATGCATCATCCTCTTATAGGACAATGAAATATAGCCTAATATAAGATATCCTCAGAATATTGGTTTTTATGTTTACCTCACCGATGAAGCACAAAGATTTAGACCTCACTGGGGTGTAGACAATGCAATTAGCGTCCAGTAAATGGTGGAACTTTTAAGGGATCAAAGCTGATGTTAGACCATGGCTAAAGTGACTTCTAACCCTGTAGTGAATTCTGTGATAATCTGAACCAATCCTTAATTGAAAGTATCAAAATCTACCTGACTCAGTGAGGTTTTAGAATTTTATCATGAAAGAGAGAAGATTGAGAGTGCCTAGGCCCAGGGTAAAGGTATCTGTGGGACATCAGCGTGCTATGGGGGTCTGAAACAGAGAGAGCAGGACACATGCTATTCTCTCCACAAGTTTTCCAAGATACCGTCCCAGTGTTCTACACAGGGTCGAAATGATCACTTTTGGAAAACAGTATGTATAGGTGCAAATTCCCTATGATGAGTGTTATCATTGTGTATATCTAAAATATACCAATAAATGTTTTGCTTACAAACAATAACTTCTGGTCAGTAAAGAGCAATGTCCCAAAATAGCAAAAACACAAAACAAAACATGAAATCAGTTACACATAAGGCAAAGCTGTATTTGGTCAGTCACCGGGTAAAACAATGGCACCATTTCTCTCAAGAAAAGACAGGAAATTCAAAAGAAGTATCTCGAGTATGATCTTAACTAAGTCCTGTGCTTGTTCGTCAGCCCTCCTCCCTCACTCCACAGCCACTGTGGTTAGAGACCTACTTAATGTCTCGAATACTGTGCAGATCTATTGAGAACTGTGCAGTACAGAGACAATGCTGGATTTCTGGTCTAAACCTCTGGAGAAAAGTTGCCTAACTAAATCTTAAAAATAAAATAGACTGTTTACTGCTCAGGTCCCAGAAATAAATACTATAGAACGTTGCATATTATGAAGATGCTAAAATTACAAATTTAAGTGTCCATTGAGCAGCACACATCATATACCTAAAGTGTGGCGTGACCCTTATCTCTTTATTCTTCACATATTCTGGGGGCTAGGCAAGTGGCCAAGAAAATAAAGACAAAGATAACTTTTATGATAGAAATCTATAATAACTCTCCTACTACTTCTACTTACATCAAAGTAATGCATTTAACAGCCTAATGATTAAAATATAGATTTTAAGCAGTAATGGAATTAATGTTAGTAATAGCTGTTTTCATTTTGAATTATTTGATTAGATTCTTGAGTTTAATATTACGTTAAAATTTATAGATATGTTTGAAGTAGTAATTCATAAGACTGTAATTATATATAGATAGCTCATTTTACATACTCTATTTTGCCTCGTAATCTTAAAGTACAAATTATTTTAAAACGTAAAATACTTCTGAACATCTTAAATGCATAAAATTGTTGGTATAACATTTTTATTATGCTGAAAAGGGATTGCTTTTCATGTTATTTCACATATGTGACTCCCTTCTCAATATTAGGTTGCAAACTTTAAGTAGGTCTGGCCTCACCCTTGATTTGGTGCATTTCTTCTCAGGGAATGACATGCAATGCCAATAGTTGTCGTTAGCTAAAAGGCATCCAAATAATTTTCACCAAAAGTCTGGGCATTAAAGATTTTATCATACACAGTCCTTTTCTCTCCTTTTGTTTTGTATTCTTTTTGTTTCTTTCCCTGTAAACTGGTTGCACATTTTCCTTCCTGCAATTATAGGTATGAAGTTATGGTACAAATAATGTTTTCTAACTTTTATTTTTTAATCTGTAAATTTTGTTGATATTTCTGTATAATGAAATCCTCTTCTGCAACATCCTTTTCAATCACTGTAAGACATTCAATTGTGTGGATGATCAATAATCTACTTAACCAATCTCCTGTTGTTGAAATTTTTTCTAATTTTTATAGGCACTACTTTAGATAGCTGTAGAGCTAAAAATTTTGCAGACATCATTTCATCAAGGTCAATTCCTAAAAGTACACTTTGTTATCTAAGAAACAGTATAAGATCTTGACTGCCTTATGGAGAGCCATGATCACACAGGTTAGGGATACTCATGTTCCTCATAATGTTTTATTTGTATTGTTTGTCAGTCTAGTGAGAAAATGCTACAATATCTTCCTGTTGAATAACCAATTATTTGGTGACCACTAAGCCTGAATATTGTTTTATGCACTACTTATTATATAAACAGACAGAGGTGGGAGGGGCATTTTCTACTAGGTCTGTATGTTGCCCTGTGTGAAAGACCTAAATTCAACCAATCTAAATGTACCCAGATTCTCATTCTAGGTGTACATTGATGGTACCAGACTTACAGGAATATAATGTTTGTACAATTTAATGAAGGGGAAAAATAGTCAAAACTCTGATCAAACTTTATTTGGAAATAAAGAATATTACTATTTAACTGATTGTCGCCATAGACAATCACTTTACATGATTTCATTTTCTATACAAGATATTTCATGAAACAAGTCTTACTGAAACTGCATTTTTCCTTTTGTGAAATCTACATTTTAAATATATTTAATCTTTTTAGATTTTGTACATTACATTCCTTTTAAAAGTAGTTCAACTCAAATTGTGACTTGAATTGAAAACATTTTTATCTATCCATGATTTTCAAATATTTGGTAAATGATCATTTATGTGATATACGAGATGTTCCTTAAAAGCTTTTGTTAAATCAGAAGACTTAAGACATTATTGCAGGAATTTGTCCATGTTAAGAGAGGGCTACCCATTGCGACATAAGAAATTACCCAGCCGTAAGAAATGAGAAATTAGATTCATTCATAGGAAAATGGATACATATTGAGGATATACTCCTAAGTGAAATAAATAAGTCACATGTGTAAATACTGAAAAAGTTTCTCTGGTGTGAATAAACTATAATAGTACATAACATCCTAATAATATAATGGACAGTGTGAAATAGGAAGAAAAGGGGCTAAAGGTGTAGGGAAAGTGGGAAGGGTAGGGGAAAGTTAATGAGGGAAAAGAAAAAAATCTGAGAAAATGAAACAATGGAAGTGAAGTGTTTGTAAAGGGGGAGGGAGGAGGAGTGAAGAGAGGGCAGGGACAAGGGGAAAACATGAGAACCAAGCCTGTCATGTGAAGGTACAAGATCGCAATAATGAATGTAGCTGTACTGTATACCTAAAATGGACCAATAAACTCAATGAGGAAAGGAAAAAAAAAAGAAATTATCCCAGTATTTAGCTTAGAAAAGCAAGCATTGATCTCATGTGTTCTCCGAGGGTCATGAAAGCTCAATTGGATGGTGGCTCTGAGTCTCTGAGGCGGTCACAGCCCAGCTGTTGAGCGGGGTCGTCAGAGGGAAGGCTGACAGGGGCTAGCAGGGCTGCCTCGGAGCTCACCCCTGCGACTGTTCCCTTACCCGGGATCCTCACCAGCGGGTCTCTCCCAGGGCTGCTCAGGAGAGACATGACTCCCCCAGAGTAACTGTCTAGGCAAGGGCTTCGGGGAAAGAGGGGAGGCAGGGAGGGGGAGCGGGGAAGGGAAGCAGAGAAAGGTGAAAGACAAGGGTAAAGGAGAGGAAGACTCCAACATGGAAGTAGGACTGTTCCTTTATGGAATAATCTCAAGAAGAGCGGGCCATCACTTTTCCTTATTGTCTTGACCTCACAGTGGAAAGGAAACGCAGTGTGGGAAGGAAATACACAGGAGGTGCATCTGGAGAGGGAGAGACACAGAGGGAGGGAGAAGGAGAGGGCGGGGAGGAGAGAAAGGGAGAGAACGGGACAGAAGAGAGAGGCTGGAATTGATTTAGAGTAAATAATATCACTTCAAATAAAAGGTAGTCATGAAATAGATGAAAACAAATGTCATTGTTAATTATATCAAAACCTGCCAATGTCTCTCTGTAACCCTCTTTAGCATTCAAATTCCATAATTGTCAAGTGGTGAAACCTAAATGTAGTTTAAAGAAGTTCTCTAATTCTTTTTTTTAAGTACTTGTCTTCAATGCTTTTTGAAAGATTTAAATAAAGTTCGTTTTAATTTTAAGTGAGATAAATGTAAGTATTGTATCATTTTAAAGAAATGTCTATGTATGAATTTTTCCTATAAGTACTTATCTTTAATAACCATAATAATTTAACAATTAACTTTATCCCTTAATAATATAATTCTTTACCCCCTGTACTTTTTATTTTTTGTACAGTTTCAGCGTTGCTTCTTTTTTTTCCCGAGATTTAAAATAAGAGACACTTCACTAATAACATCGTATCACTTGAACCTAAGTAGGATCGATATCATGTCATGAGTGCAAAGAATTCTGTAATTATTTTAATATAGCCTATTTTGTTGTCAGATTTCTTTATTTTCTTAAAATAACGGAAAGATAACTGATTAGTATTAACTTTTTATTCTAGGTCCCCTAAAAACCCAGAACAGAAAATCATTAAGAGGGTGATTGCTCTTGAAGGAGATATTATAAGGTAGGTTCTGTTGCTGAATTCAAGTACAAAATATGCAGATATTTAATTTATTTATAAATCATGTTATTTGGAAAATGCCTCTCAATTCAAGGAGGGCCAGAGCCTTGAGAGTTTCTCCATGGCCTGATGCTGCTTTTGTGAGCATCATTCAGCATTCCGAGATGTAAGGCCTATGGAAGCTTACTGACCGTATTATCATTCTGAAATTGTGAGTGATAGGAAAAATACTCATTACACAAAAATTAACCATCTCTGTACCATTAAATCACTGATTTTGAGATATTAAATGTAGCACAATTACTTCACGACTTTGACAGCAACGTCCATTTTAGAAAAATTGAAGAACATCTTATTACTTTAGCAGCAAATCAAAAAGCTAAGAGGAACCTTTTATAATCATAGAGATACAAGAAAACTTGAAAGCATGTGAAATCTGAATCATAGACAACAATAGGAAATGTAGGTAATGACAGTATAATAATTAGGTGTTTAAAGAACATATTTATTATGCTTGTTGATAAATTACAAATATGTGAAATGGACTAATTAGTTATATGATATCTTATATCTCATTTTGATTACTTACTTTAAATAAGTTTTGGTCAAGTATATACAATGCATAGCCAAAAGGCTTTGAAAATGATATTCAAGAGTGTTCTGATCCTATTTTCCTATAAAGCTTCACCTAAAATATTCACATAGATGTTAGTACAGATTAAGCATTCTCACTACAATGAACCTCAGTCAGCTTTAGAGGAAAATCTAGACCAGAGTTCTCAAAGCATGGCCTGAGAATGTCTTGCAATCCCCAGGACCCTTTCTGGGGGTCTATAAGATCAAACGTTTTTCCCTTTTACATGAGCACGTCTTTGCAATGCATAGAGTTTGCTCTGAGCTTGAGGGGCTGTATCAAAACGTGATATGTATTTACCAAAACTCTTCCAAGTAATACTAAGAATTTGTTCGTGCAGTGGAATTTCCCAGATGTGTGATCTTCAAGTATATAAAATGAGAATTAGATATGACAAAGTAGCTGTCTTCTACTGAGCCAGACACTAAAAAGAGTTTTTTTAAACATAAAAATGCTTCTTCCCAATATTTTTTGTTTTTTAAGGAATCACCTATATTTTTGTTAAATACATATTTTATATCATATAGTTTTGTTATTGTTCTTTTAAATGAAACCAATAAAATATTTTAAAATTCTTTTTGAATTTCAAATATTATAAGTAGTGACAGTAGGACGGATCCATGTAAACAAATATGCTTTAAATCCTAGCTATTTTTAAGTATGTAAAGGAGTGCTGAGACCAAACAATTTGAAGTCTTGCTAAGGTATGGATCAGTAGGAAGAAACTTTTAAATCAAGATTGAAGACTTACTTGTAACCTTTATGATATTAATGGAACGATTGTATTAACCTTTGGTTTATATTCATGAATGTTTATTTGGTCTTCTTTCAAAAATTGTATGGAGGTATAATTTAAATGTGCATCTATAAATATTTGAATATTTTTAGTGTTTAAAAAAGTGTGTGGGTGTGATGTCAATAGCATTGAACCATGACTCAGCAAACCTAGAAACCATTATGGTAGATGGAACAAGTCAGTCCTAAATAACCACATACATACAAAATATCCAGAATAGGCAAATTCATAGAAACAAATAGTTACGCGATTCCCAAAAACACGGGAGGGGGATGGGCAGCACTGTTAAACGTTACAGAGTTGGGTTTGAGGGGTATGAAAATGTCCTAAAATTGAACTATTAACGATGGCTGCACAACTCTGTTAATATGCGAAAAATGTTCAGTTTTATCTTTTAAACTGATAAATCGTGTCTTATATGAATAACATCTCGATAAAGCTATTTTAAAATATAAATCCAAAAGAATTGGTCAACAAAGCAAGCAAAAATGTCATCTATTTAAAGTAATCTAACGGAATTAAGGATGCCAAGGGATCTATTTTAGGTTATAATCCGAAGAGAACACAGCTTCTGATTCAGATTTATCATTATTGGTCACTAGCTGAACAATGTGATGATTGCAAAGCTTGGGAAGACACAAAAAGCTCTGTGCAATCAGCAGTCCTGCAGTAGATGTGTCTGAGAGCAAGCTGGGGCTGCTGCTTTCCTCAGGAATGCTAACACTGGATGCCCGGAGCAAAGCAAGTGTGAGAGCCAGGGCCAATGCGAATGACGCAGATTTGGGCGTAGGGGGAAAGCGAGTCCATACAGTAGTGGGTCTAGGTCTGTGTTCTCTCTCTCCACTGCTGCAGCCAAAACAGGCAAAACCTGCAAAGTGACACTAGGGGCACAATGGTCCCATGTGCTGCACGCCAGCCACGGAGCAATGGACAACACGAAGAATGGGACTACATAGGGTCAACACTTCTTTCTGGTGTCGCATCTAAACTTATTTGACAATAAATTAGAAAAATGGTCTTTTCTTAGTGTTTCTTGTCTTTTAAAGAAAATGTAAAATTTATTTTCCTTGAAATTTTGGCACCTATCCTGGACTTCCTGGGCTTTACATAAATAGTTGAATATATTCATAAAATGATTTGTAACAGTATTGAAAAGTGTCCAGGGATAATAAGGTAACAAAATTTACGGATGGACTTCTTCTTTCTGCGACATATATTTTACACGGCAGAATGTATTTAAAAACAATCATAGAAGTATGCTTTCTATCTACATCCCAAAGTCATTAGTCTAATGCACCCTGGCTTAAGACACGCAAGGTGGTTTGGTCTGTGATGTGTTTTCCAGCATTAACTTTCTTCAGATATCCCTTTAGATACTATAATAGTCAAGCTAAGCACAAATGTGAATTATTCTTTCATTGGAAATAATTGATATTTTGTGAAATGATCAGAGGGAAAAACTCTTACTTTGAGGACTACTTACACTTATCTAAGTGTCAGTAGCATTTTTAATTTGAATTACACATAATTAGAAGGTAGAGACGAACCATGATCTTTTCAGAGGTTAGCCCTCTTAAGCCTTAATTCAATCTTCCGTTTAATGTGCAGTACTGATATTTAAATTTCAGGTTGTGAAAACCAGATGTGTAATGAGATACAGTTTTAAGAGTACATGGGGAAGCAAGGACAATAAGGAGCCAAGGATCATAAGCCTCACTGAAGATCAGTAACGAGGGTACCTTAGCACGTCTGCTCTCTGTCACGTGACCCTCCATGTCCTGGCACAATGCTGTTGCTTGTCTCTTCTGTATTTCTGCTGGCTTTTGCCCCACTGGTAACTGCCAACTTCCTGGGATGTTCTTCCTCTTTATATTCCTGGATGAAAATCTCCATGTACCCCTTTGAGATATGCACCTAAGATCTGTCCAACTGTTGTTCAACCAGTTGATCAGCTGCCTCTGGAATAGGTGCCCTCTCTTGATCCAATCTCTTATTGCCAGGTAGACCAGTCACTTGGTGCATGCCTTGTAGTTGTAAAGAACCTGTTGTACTGGCTTGGAGGTATGAAAGATGCCATTAGACATCCTGGAACAGGGCATTGTAATTAGCAGTCACTTTGCTCAGCATTACCTCTCGAAACAGTTCAATAAAAATGTAATCCATTCTCCTTAGTAGTTGCTTTAATATTACTCACTAAGGAAGGTTAAAAAAAACAATTTTAGTTACAGAAATAAAACAGCCCTATGGAATTAAAAATGCTATAATGAGCATCCTTGCATACAAATCCTTCTACACTTATTATTTTTGTGGAATATACTTAGAAGTGGAAATATGAGGCCAAACTATGTTTTTGTGGTGGTTGATTGTTGTTATATTCAGTTCTAATTGATACCGCCAAATTTCACTTTCAGGAAGTTTTTATATATTTACATTCAGCATGGCTAGATTAAATATCCTTCTCTGAGGAAATTGATTTAAAGGTCATATGCAATGGGGAAGTTGTAGACTTCAGATTCAGAAGTTGAAACACTTCAGCACAAATTTCAAAGTTAGCTTTGATGCTGAGGTTGTTTTTCATATCAATTTACCGACAGTGAAAGCTTTAGTGCCATTCACTGAATAAGCACATGACTAGACACCAGAAAGTCCTGGTGAACAAAGTGAACACGTTTCCTGTCCTCATGCTGTTTCCATTCTCCTTGTTGGAAGCAGACTATAAATAAACAAGTATATCACATGTAATGCAATATTATGAGTGAGCGGTGCTATGAAAAAAATAAAGGAATAGGGACTGAAAAGGGATGGGTTTTAGGTAATGTGGTCACATGTAAACCTCTGTAATGGGAAAATATTTGAAAGACTCTAAAGTTAAGGAAGAGAGGGAGAGAACCACACGAGTTTCAAGGCCAAGGACAGTGCAGGCCAAGGAAATAACAAAGACAACTCTGATGTGGATATATATTAGGTAAGTTCAAGGAATTGGAAGAAGCCACAGGTGAAGGAAGGAAACTGAAGGAAGAGATTGGTTCTGAGAGATCCGCAGTTTTGTGGTCATACTAAGACCATTGGGTTTGTGTTTGACGGATGGCCAGGCTGGGAGGCTTTTCAGCAGCGAGGCGGTATGGCCTGGTTCGCGTTGTTAAAGGGTCACTCTCTCTGCATCTGACTTCTGTTACTGATCTGAGAATTTCTCTCTTGAGAAAACAATGTCTAGGTTCTTGTAAAAGTAGTCAAGTGCCCTTGTTTGTGACATCCACGATGACTACTTTGATTTATTTTCAGAGACTCGGATAAAAGTAGTCACATTATTTGTAATCACACTCATTATGTTTATGATGACAAGATGAGAAGTAGAGGTGAAGCATTTGCTCAGAGAATTCAGCCAGATATTCCTAAGATTATGAAATAGAAGACTATTGGGCATCTAGACTTTTGATATCAATTTTGATTAAAATCCCATGGAAGTTGCATGCTTTCCTGAATCTCTTTGCCATGCACATAGTTATTTTTAATATTTTGACACAAATGAGTGTGATTATCTATAATACTAACAATAAAAAGCTAATGAAAGTT